CGCCCTTTTCTCTGCGGCCGCCCCTCCTCCCCCCCATCTTCTTACGTGCGCGCTAATTCGCGGCGCCGTGTCCCGGCGTCGCCCTTGCGTGCGCGCGGGTGGCCTCTGCCGCGCTGCGACGCCAGTACTTCTGGCTGATCGCGTGACCGCCGACGATGAAAATCCACTTGGATAAAGGGCATGGTCCGAGATGCCTGTGACACGCAACTTCCCCAATTCCACCGCGACCGTCGACGCTACGCTCCACTAATTTAGATACTAGTGGAGTCGAGACAAGGATCTTGTCGAGTTGCGTGGGCCTTGTGTCATCTGAGTGGGCATGACTTTCTGTATCCGATTCTACCATGCCTGATAGTACTTGTGACCGAGTGCCTCCGTGTTCTCTGTTTCGCGGGTCCGTGGTGAAACCCTTTTCGATCTCGGGCGCCTGCAACTGCGCTGTCGCCACCTCGGAAACATCACCCCCCCCATCGCCACCACTGTCGCCTTGTTCGGCTATTCTGCAGCGACTTGGACTTCAGGTGCGGCTTTCCAGCTGCTAAATTTGCCCATTAGATAACGCTACAGCCGTGCGTGGCATAAGAGGGCCACCATCGTGTCACCGCGCTCCTGGCTGGCCTTCGCTTTGGCCGACACCCTCTGCGCGCGCCTAGCGATGATGCCTGAGTGCCGAACTCTTCCCCCAAGAGCAGCTAGCTCGCTAGCTCCAACTCGCTTCGCTCTGGGGATGAGCGGGGATCGCGAAGGCCACTCTGCCTGGGCCACGAAAAAGGATCGAACAAAGCAAACCATAATCACCCCTTCGAATGTAGAGCTGGGCTTCGAGTTCGACCTCCGTCCCCCGCGTCTCCTGAACTGCTACCGCCGACTGCTTCTTGCAAATTTCCATCACTTGTCATCTTTTCTTTGTCTCGTGCCTGGCTTGTGATGCAGCGGGGCTCTCGCATTCCAATTTCAACGAAAAACGATCGCGAGCAAACGGCTTCGGAACGAATGTGTCCGCACCATCAGCGTACTGCTAAATGGCCCACCGCATGTTTTCCCCGACCGCGTCAAAGGTGACATTGGCTGCCTTCAGCAACGCCTTCTGGCCCACTCCCTCGTCGCGCACCGCCGCGTACTTCCCGAGGGGCCTCGAACGGAACTTGACCGAGTTGCCGACCTGCGCCTTGATCGTAGGGACGCTGTCCATGTAGATGATGCCTTTGGCCCTGTCGTGCCTTGACCTGGCACGGGGCATCTGCGCTTTGACGAGGGCCGCGGGCCGCTTGCACTGGCACTGGAACTCCGTCGTGGTTTGCTCCGGCGCTTTGCCCAAGCCCGCGAAGATTTTGGCCGACCCCTCCCCGGAGGAAAGGGCAGCGAATCGCCTCCAGCAGCCGCCATGAAATCTCAGGGGCCGCCGAATTGCGCGGACGTTCTGTTGCGCTGCGCCGTTGTCGCCTGCCATATGGATGGTGTAGCGTTAAGTCGGGCATGCCCTCGTACAGGCGGGTTTTGGAAGACAAATAAGGAATAGTCAAACAATTATCAGCACGAGCCAAAAAATACAAAGAATCGTCCCAAAACTGATTTTTGACCATTCCTGAATATTCTTCCTCTAGAGGGACACGTCCGACTCGAAGTGTAGCGTCTGTTGGGCGACTGCCCCACGAGCTTGTACTGGTCGTCCTCCAGGCCTGCAGCTTCAATCCTCACTCGGCGAAGCATTTCGGCGCGGTCGCCAGCACCGCGAGCTCCGAGAGGTTGACCACGAGAGCCGCCACATCTGGAGGACGACCCCGCTTTCCAAACCTTCATCACCTTTATTTGGGCGAATTGGGATGCCCTGGACCCAAAAACGTTTGCATCTCTTGGAGACGATTTGCGGTAACGTTCGCCGCCTCCCGCCAGCCTTCCGCCAGCGGAGGCGGCCTCGTTTTACTTCCGCCGACCTTTCGCCGCCCTTCCACCGCCCTCCGCCGAGGACGAGATGACAACTCCTGCGGCCCTCGAAGGCATTTTTTTTTTGGAGCGTTCCATCTGGGTAGCCCGTTACTCTATGGATAATTCGCTTCGCACGTCGTCCAACTGTTCGCTTACCTGCTCTTGTGAGACTTCGAGTGCATGTCGCTGGCCGCGGAAGGAAGTGACCCCGCCCGAGGTGTGCGCGTTGAAGTTTTCCAGTTGGCTGACTACCCACCTGGCCAGGCCGCTGGTGTGTTCAGTGATCTCGTTGCTCATCGCGGGCTGGACTTCCCCGAACTGGCGGCCCACGGAACTCTGAATGTCACGCATGCGGGAGGACGGCCAGGATCGCGTCGATGCTCTGGCGCTCACCTGGGGATTGAGCAGGAACTCCCGCGGGACCCGCAGAGCCAGAAACAAACCCAGCGTTTCCAAACAATGTCTGCCACCGGTCGTGAGCGGAAAGATGATCCTCACCACCAGGAAAAAACGGTGACCATTAGAACTGACCTGAGAAGAAGGCGTCGCGTGACCTTGAACCTCCTCGTCGGGTCGAGCAGACTTACACTTCGGCGACCGAGAACCCCTTTGGGAATGTTCTGGCATCGGAGGTCTTGAGGAAGAAAATAATGTGCAAATGGAAGCCTTGCAAGATTACGGAAGATGAGTGACAAGAACATGGACCACCCGACGTCCGTAAAGTGCTGGCTGAAGCAAGGAGGAATGTCGGACGTAAGCGCCTTGGCACTGCCGCGGAGTGGCGGTGTCAACTTTCCTGTCTTGGACACAGCAGGAACTTGAGCCAAAATGGCTACGGATTCCTCGTCCTCCTCCTCCTCCTGCTGCTCCTCCTCCGCCTCATCGTCATCACGCCATCGCCTCTATGAGTCCTCACCATCACCACCATGGCTCTCCACAGCCTGGAGCTACAATAGAAGAAGAAACAACGACAGAAACATAAACTTTTGGCGCTCCGCGATTTCTCGGATCTGCGCTGGACCCCCTTTCTGGCGCGCCTCCGGCGCCAGGGGCGGCGCCGAAGGCGCCGCAAGGGGGGCCCAGGCACCGATCAACAAAAATCCGTGCGGAGCGCCAACACTTTATGTTTATGGCGTTTCCTTTCTTCCCCGATACGAGGCGTCACACGCGACAGCCCCCGGTGACCCCTCGTACAGCCGCCACCCGTAATGCTGGGCTGGCACGGTGGCGGGACATGCCGCGGGCAACTGGATAGCTGGATCGAGCGGCCTGCTGCCGGTTGCGCCAGAAGCTGCAAACTCGGCGGCCAATACGAGCGTGAAAGAAGGCCCGCTACAGAGGGCAGAAAATCCAACCCGATAATAACCACCCCGATATGCGAAGCCGTTTAGTAAACGCACCCAAAGAAGGAATCAAACAGGGCAGGGCTGTTCAGTAAACGCCCACGGCCGTTTAGTAAACGCGAATTGTCCGGTCTGGGTGGTTTTTCCTTCCTTGACGCTAGACTGGCTGCGCGCGCACTCGGCGGCCTTCAGTGCAGCCTGCTAGTAGCTGCCAGGGGTCGACCTAGACAATGATTTTCGTATTCGTTTTGTTTTCGGTCTCCCTCGTTTCGTCTTCAATCCGCCTTCGCCGCAAAACGAAGTCAAAACGGAAACGGCCCACAAAATCGCCAAATCACCGTTTACGTCGAGCCCTGGTAGCTGCGCCATGGATTACACGCTCGGCTTCCTAAAAAACAACAGCACGGCAGGATCACTGATACGACCAGTCACTCAGTCAATCAGTCCAGTGCAACTGTCGAACATCGAATTCAGGCTACAACCAATCCACATAATAAAGATGCTCGACTTCCCAAGGGTATCCTTGCATCCCTGCCTCTTCGGTCATCTTCAACAATCCTCAACCACTTTCGATGGCCAGCCCCGCTCGAAGAGCCTCGGCACTTGCGCCCAAAACCCTCGCGTCCTTACCGCGCATCCTCATTATACGGGTTGACTGTACGCCCGAACACATCGTTTTTCCTTAGGTCGCTGATGGCTCCTCGGACTCTCGCCTTCTCGGCCTCCTTGGCGGCAAGCGAGGGGGGGGAAGTGAGAGGGAGAAGGCCTCCTCAGGAGGCGGCGGGGCTTCTCAGAAGCCCTCGTGCCTCCTGAGAAGTTCTGTTCGTTCGTTCGCAAGCCATGTCGCACGACACATCGGCTCAGCAGGGGAAGAAATCCTTGCCGCGCAGGATAAGCGGCAATCGTATAATACACCTGAGCAAATATGGGGTCAATGGAGAAAGGCCATGTTGTTTAACAACTGCTTTCCGGATTGGCTGTCTATGCGCTGCAAAACCAGAAGTTCTGCGCTTCTGGGAAAGGCTGAGAAGACTTCCGAGAAGGTCGCGGGACTTCAGGGCCTTCTGCGAGGGGCCGCCACGACCCTTCGCACTCCCTCCCCCCCCGGGCCTACCCTCGTGGACGGAGGGGGCCCGCGACGGGGCAGCTACGGGGTCACGCCTGGATTGAGGATATATATATATATATATATATATATGTATATGTATATGTATATATATATATATAATATTGAGGGGGGGGGGGCTTTGTGTTAAGATATGTATATATATATATATATATATATATGTTTATATGTTATATATATTATATGTAAATATTACGCCTGGATTGAGGATCGAGGATCGGGAATCGAGCATCGAGGACCGAGCAGGACGAGGGGGAGGCCCGCCCCGCCTCGCCTCTCCCCGGGCTCGCCTTCTCGGCCTTCGGCTTGCACCCACGAGGCCCCCAGGATGGCCCGGAGAGGTCCCCAAGACGGCCTCCCAAGGCGCCAGACGGCCCGGAGAGGTCCCCAGGACGGCTCCACTGAGCCCCAAGAGGAGGAGGAGGAGGAGGAGGAGGAGGAGGAGGAGGAGGAGGAGGAGGAGGAGGTCCCCAATACGGCCCAAATGCAAGAATCGAGCCCCAGGACAGCTTCAAGACGGTTCCAGAAATGCCCCAGGACACTTCACGACACAAGCATTTCCAAAAGATAGGGGGCGGCGGTGACTCGCCGTGAGCGCCTTTAACAGATCGAGATAATATAACATCAAAGCCACCTGACTGTTGCGAATATAAGCGCCAACTCCAACGATGACCGCTTCATGAGCCTGAGCAGACGCCACAACACGGGGTCGACGCTGCCGCGGGTGGTCGGACATCCTCTCCGGGTAGCCGTGGCACGTCACCATGGCTGGGTGCCTGGATGCCTGTGGGGCCAGCACCTGCCAGCTTGCCGCCGCGAGGAATGCCAATGCAAACACTCCGTCGGGACTCGCGCGATGATGGCGAACTCCGCGCCCAAACCGTGGCGGTGGCATCTGGAAAGCCGGCTCCCGCGCGACCACTCCCAACCCCTCGACGTCGCCCTCGCGCAATCCTGAGCCATGTTCGACGGCCCCGGGGCACGGCGAGGGCCCCCAGGAGGCTGAACGTGAGCGCTTTCTTTCTCGGCGTCTCGACATTCGGCGGAAGGGGGGGGCCCTGCCTCCTCCTCCTCCTCCTCCTCCTCCTCCTCCTCCTCCTCCTCCTCCTCCTCCCCTCCTCCCTCCCTCCTCCCTCCTCCCCTCCTCCCTCCTCCTCCTCCCTCCTCCCCCCCTCCTCCTCCTCCTCCTCCTCCTCCTCCTCCTCCTCCTCCTCCTCCTCTCCTCCTCCTCCTCCTCCTCCTCCTCCTCCCTGGGGGGGGGGTCTGGCTCCAGACCTCTGCTTAGTGCGACTCTTTGCGGCGGTGCGTCCTTTGGGGGAGGCCCCACCGACTTGACACAGGAGCCCAAAACAGCCAAGATCAACTCCAGGGGGGAGGGAAGGGGGTTCGAGGGCCCGCGCCTATCGGCAAAACAATGAATAAGAAAACGATCGCAATAGCAAAAAACCTCCCGCCGTATTTGTCATCACGACGCGAGGGGCTCTGGGTTCCCAGATATCTGGGCGCCGATAGCCTTGCGCCGCTCCGCTCTGAAGGGCCCGTTTGGAAAACGAAACACCAAATGGCTGGGCCAAATCATCGCACCAGCCCTCCAGACGGCAGGCTTCAGCTCCTCGCTCCGTTGGCCCAGTCCTTAGGGCAAGGCCAGGGCAGCCCTCTCCGTCTCCACGGCAACCGACACAATCCCACCAGCCTTCTGGGCTTAGGTGGTATAGCGCGTTTTTTCCTTCTCTCTCCCACTGAAGCCCCTCCCCCTGCCCCTTCCCCTGGGCCTGGACGGGGCGCGCCGCGAGGCCTTAGAACGTCCATGATGGCCCAAGATTGCCCCCAGAGGCGTTCAAAGTCGCAAGATGGCCTCCAGAATGGCCCATGTTAGCCTCCGACATACCCCCAAGAGGCCCCAAGACAACCCCAAGACGGATCCAAGTGCCCTTCGAGACCTCCACGGCGCTCTCCAAGATGCCAGAACCTTCCAAAAACCTCAGGAACATCAATGTTTTTGGCATTCTCGCCTGTTCGCATCCGATGGGCTTGGGAGCCTCAAGCTGGCACCATGATGGCCCAAGAGGGGCCCAAAAAGGCCGAAGACGGCCCAAACATCGCCCAAGAGGCGCCCAATAACGCTCCAAGACGGCCCCAAAACGCCGTTTGAGAGCTTCCGATGGGGGGGATCCTAATTGAGGAACTTTCTCTTTTTGAGACATGGGGCCCAAGATGGCCTCAGGAGGCCCCCCAGCCTCTCCCAAAGACCCTCCACCTCGCCCTTTTTAACCCAAGATGGCTCCAAGAGAGCCCTAGATAGCCCAAGACGGCTTTCAACATGGCCTAAGAGAGCCAACCATGGTTTTATATAGCCTCCGACAGACCTCCAAGAGGCCTCGAGGCACCCTCACGATGGCCCAAGATAGCCGAGCGTGGCTCAAGATAGCCTCCGACAGCCTCTAGCCGAGCACGGCTCAAAGATAGCCTGCAAGAGGCCTCAAGAAAACCGGCAATCAATTATGGTTGGGTTGGTGAGGGTACTTTTTGGTCGCGGCCGCAGGCGAGAGCGCAAGCGGCGAGTCGTAAGTCCGGGGCGCGGGCCTACTAATTGACAACAGGAGCAAACTAGAGCCGCGCACCTGAACTGCCTAAGCTGCAGCGCCGCAAGTGAGCTGCAAGCTGCACTGAGTGTTGATGCCAGGACCAGGGGCAGAAAGCGCCCACACAACGTCCATGCAAGCATGGCGGTGGCTGCCAGGGTGGCTGCACTGCCAGGGGTGCGCGCATGCAACGAGCTGCAGGGGGTGGCGGACTGCCAGGGTGGCCGGCTGCCAGGGTCTGCAAGCTGCGAAGTGAATTGTATGCAGGGGCGTAACCACCCACGGGACTGCAAGAGTACCCGGGGGGTCAGAGCCAGCTGGACCGACCGTTACGAAATGAATTGGATGCGAGTGAAGTGGGCAGCAGAAGCTGCGGCGCGGCCAAAATGGCGCGTGGGGGCACCGCGATGTGACCAGGGTGGGCACCTCAGAGTGACCCAAGATGCCTGCCAAGGCCAGGCAGGTGCGAGTGGTGGCGCCAGCAAAGTCGCACACCCGAGCCCCGGACAGAGGGGGGCGCAGTCTGCGGTCGACACACCAGGGATGGCGACTGACGCGAACAGACGGCGGGAGGGTGTACACCGACACTGCAGCCGAAATCGCGGACGCAGCGTGGTGGAACCATGAGGGTGCCTAGGCTGAACCACAGGCGCCCGTAGCCTCCACCGTAGAGCTGGTGGGGATACGGGAAGCGTCAAGAATTGACTTCTCGCTTTCTCTCCGCAGCGCCACGCGTCCCGTCCTCCTTTTCCTCCTCCTCCTCCTCGGCCTCCCTCCTCCTCCTCCTCCTCCTCATCCTCCTTCTCATCCGTCTTCTCTTCTCCTACCCGCGAAGCCCTGATGGGCTGGGGGACTACAAAACTTCACAGGAACACCACCACTACTCCCACACATCACGCAAATCCCTGGGCCTTTCTTGAATGCCATAACCTGTTCTCACGCGCGCTGTTCTCACAAAGCCCAATTCTTCTCCCAACTACTTCCACGCCCCACCCATTCTCGACTTCTGGCGCACCAAGGTTCCAAGATGGCGCGTGTACTCTGCAATTGCTCCTGCTCTGGCGTGGGCTCCTCCTCCTCCCCCGTTCCTCCTCTTCCTGGCCCCACAGGGGGCTCCACCAATGGCTTCTGTCGGGGATGGACAGACCCCCCTTTAGTAAAGCGTGGTTCAGTGAAAATGACCTCGGGCCCAAACCTGGCGGGCGCGAGCCTGGAAAATGACGGCCGCGGCGCCCTCCCGAGAACCGAGAACGGACCATTCACTAATCGACGTGTCACTGTTGGGGGTTCTGTCCACCCCCGACCCGTTCCTCCTCTTCCTGGCCCCACAGGGGGCTCCACCAGTGGATTCCGGCCCCATAGGAGGCGCTTGCACGCGGCACCCCGCGCACTGCGGCACCGCCCTCCCACACGTCTCCTGCCCCGTGCGGAGCTCCAGCGATGGCCCGCGGGGAGGGGGCCTCGCACGCCGCCCTCGCGCCCCTTCCGGCGTGTGCTCACACGCTTCGTGCCGCCTCCTCCTCCTCCTCCTCCTCCTCCTCCTCCTCCTCCTCCCCCGATCCTCCTCCTCCCCCTATCCTCCTCCTCCCCCTATCATCCTCCTCCTCCTCCTCCTCCTCCTCCATGCGGGTCTTCGCCTGCAGATGTCGGGTCGGGCGAAAGGGGGGGGATAGCAAAGGGGGGGTTGAGAATCAGCTCACGTGGCTGATTTTCCCAGCGCCTCCCGGCGCCGGAGGCGGATATATGTATCGAGGAATGGGCCCCTCGGTGAGGCCGAAACCGGCTGCATGCAGCAAATTTCGTACCCCCCCCTTTCCCAATCCCCCCCTTTCGCCCGGCCCGAATATGGCCCCGATGAAGGAGCTCGCGTGCCGCCCCTCACCCACCCGTGGCGTCAGTGGCAGTCACTCGCCTGCCGCACCCCGTGCCCCTCTGCGCTCCCCTCCCACAGACCGTGCACCCCCAGGGAGCTCCGCGCACGGCCCCCCCGCCCACCTCGCGGGCACCCCTCGCACAGATCGTGCACCACCGAGGGCGCCGCCCGTGGCCGCAGGTGGGAGGAACTCGCACGCCGCACCGTGGACAGCTCTGCACGCTCCTCGCTCCCCACCCGAGCCCAGCGGAAGGGAGGGAGCACGCCACCACCGCCCCCTGCCTAGGAAGGCACCAACTATACACCAACACCGATCCTGGCCAGGATCACCCTGGGCCCAGGATCGGTGTATACGCCCTCCTGCCTTGGGCAAGAAAGCATATACACCGATCATGGGCCCAGGGTGATCCTGGGCCAGGATCGGTGTTGGTGTAAAGTTGGTGCCCTCCGACTGCCGCACACCCCCCGCGCGGACCTCGCGCCCCGCACACGCAGCCCCGCCCCGCGGCCCCGCCGGAAGAGCTCGCACGCCGCACCCGCCCGGTCCGGCGCACTCTTCGCACGCGGCCGTGCCCCTTCTCGGGGAGCGCCGCGCGCCCCCCCGCGCGCCCGCTCCGCGGCCCCCCCCGTCCGCGCTGCCCCGAGCCTCCCTCCCGCCGCGGGAGGCGCCGTGCGCGCCAGGAGGGGCCAGGCCCCGACGCCGCCCCCATTGGGATGCCCCCCGCGAGAGAGCGCGCCGAGGAGGCCCCGCGGGGCCTCCCCGAGCTCCCCGGCCCGCAGTCCAGGCGCGGCGGCGGGCGGGGCCGAAGGCCCCGAGGCAGCGGCCTCGGTGGGCGGCCTCGGCGCCGCGGCGGCCGAGGCCGCGACCTCGGAGAGCGGTGCTCCTGCCCCCCCCCCCCCTCGGGGTGCTGCTAGGAGTGCCCCTGGCCCGAGGTGCCCCCCAGGGTGCCGTGCCGCTTGGGAGCCCCAGAGGCCCTCGGAGCCTCGTGCTATAGGGGTGCCCTGGGGGCCGTCTGGGCCGGCCCGACGAGGATCTTCGGGGTGCCCTGGGCCAGGGGCACTGATCTAGCAGCACCCGACCCTCGGGCGAGGGGGGCTCTCGGCACCTCGCAGAGGAGGCCCTGGTGTGGGGATCACGAGCCCCATCCGGACAAGAGCGGGAAGCGCCGCTCCTGTGAGCTTGCGCGCGCACGCGCGCGCGCACTCGCATCCAACACACACGTGTGCACGGGTGGCCACCCGAGTGTGTGGAAGCACGGGTGGCAAGCCCAACGTTTCCCGACGCGGGTGGCGACCCAACGTGTGGCGACCACCCGAATGTAGGCACGCGGGTGGCAAACCACACGTCCACGCATGGCTTGCCACCCAAATGCGGACACATGCGTGGCAAATCCAATGTTCGCACTTGGGTGGCACCCCGAATGTGGACACATGGGTGGCAACCCAAAGCCATGCACGCGGGTGGCTACCCAAAGTGTGCCCGCCCAAATGTTATGGGTTCCACCCATGTGTCTACATTTTGGGTTGCCGTACCTTGCAGAGCCATTGCAGGGTTTGCGGGGTCGTTTGCAAGGTGTTGCCAGGCATTGCAAGGTCTTAGCAAGTGTCT